TCACAATAGTATCTGTTGAAGATTTTTGTAGAATATACTTACATAAAAAACTGCAAAAGAGTAAATCTTTGATCTGCTGTAGAAATTTTGAAAAACTTTCGTGTATGTATTTGTGGTATCTTAAATTTATATATATATATATATATATATATATATATATATATATATATATATATATATATATATATATATATATATATATATATATATATATATATATATATATATATATATATATATATATATATATATATATATATGATGACACTATATTCCGGGATATCATCCGTTCGCTTGTTGAACTCCGACTGGAATCCTGCAGACGTTTCGCCAAAATCTCACTTGGCACTTCGAACACTCAACAAGCGAACGGATGATATCCCGGAATATAGTGTCATCATATTTTTCCATCCGTGAATCAATACGTGAAAGAAAAAAAAAAAAAATATATATATATATATATATATATATATATATATATATATATATATATATATATATATATATATATAAGGCAAACACATGGACAAGAATGATAAAAGTTTAATATTGAAGTTTTTTTCAAAACTAATTACGTTAACTCATCCCTGTAACTATTTAAAATAAGTATTTTACTGGTTTTAGATTACGTCATTTTGTCATTTTTTACCTTTCTCCTATATAGATTAATAACACTTATTTTGGCCGACCTAATTGAGAAAATGAAAATCACGAATATTGCTACCGTTCCCACCTACAGACGTCCGATCATAAATTACAATAGACACCCACGCTCGAACTAGAATTTAATTACGCATGCAGAAATTAGCACGCAGAAGGTCTCGCAACCCCGTTACGGGATAATAAGGTGTGTGAGCGATGGAAACGCCTCAACTTGCACTACCAGTCGCCCAGTCAGCTCCGACAATGTTGGATGCTAATAAATATAAATCAGATTACACCGGGATAGCTATACGTGACTTTTGAGCTCTACAGAACGCAAAACCACTAATGCTAGACAGCCATATGCTTTTGGAGCACGAGTCTACTTTTGAACATGACTTTTAACGAGGAACGGACTTTCTCCCTCAACAGCAAGTTCTGTATAACCAATTATGTTAAATATCAAAGGTTTACTTCGAAACATTTTAAATAAATATAAAGTTTATTTTTATAAGAAAATCGTGTAAATAAAATAAAATATCTGGACAAGTGGTAAATCTATTTTTGAAGATATATTTCTTTAGAACTTTTGATATGTGGTCAGTGATGTTTTGAATGTAAGAAAGGACAACAGTGACAAGTGTGGGATTACTTGCGGCCTCGTTGCTATTGGAAAGTCGTGGTGAAGTTTATTTTGTGTTGAAACGCTCAATATCTTTAATGTGGAAATTATTGGAGAGAAAAGCAGAAGTAAGGTGCTTTAATTCAGTGAATCGGACTTCTTTTTAGTCGCGATGGGAATGTGCCACCAAGAAAAGATAAATTTACCAAGAATGTTAGCAGTCTTGTTGTCAAACCCAATACTCTTACTTTAATAAAAATGTTGGTATGCCATCGGAACCAAAAACTTTTTGTTTTATGATTTATTTTTTAAAGTATACAAGAGCTAATACTAATAACATTCAGACCAATATTTTTGTTATCCAACTGAATTGAACTAACAATATTTTTGCTTCTATAAAATGGTTATTAAACTACAATATTAGGCTCATTCCTGATTTTATTACTCTGCTTATTCATTAAATTAAAATTCTGGACACTGTATCAACATTCATTTGACAGAATCCGAAATTTGGCCGAAATTTTTGGTTTCCCAAACTAATTTTTGTTTCTTCCGGGCCTCGGTATATACCTCGTTCAAAATTGCACAACTTAAGAACAAACAGATATTTTAAATTAGCACAAGACGTTTTAATTTCTAACCAAAACTATGAAAAACACTATCCAGGTCCGTTTCGGAATAAACATGAAGCGATTGTTCAAAATTCTTAATTTTGGAGTCGCTGAAGTTTCTACCAATTCAAAATGTTGAACAAACATTCGACTTGGTAATGCCATTTCGAAATACTTCAAGTTCTGTGAAAACTGGTCAATAATAATGTAATATACAGTACGTCCACGAATGGAGGGGACAAGAGAACGAATAGACCAAAAAATGAAAAATAAAGAAATAGGGCATTCTTTTCAAAAGTGCTTTGCTTGGCTTAAAAATACCGGTACAAAAAACCCGCAAAAATATAAAATTTGCGATGGTCCAATTTTATGGCCGCCTAAGATTTTCGATTCGATATCTTGCCAAAGGTTTTTTGAAGGCCAAAATGACCAAGAAGTTTTTCGCTGAAAACAATAAGGAGTTCTAGCAAATTTCAACGTCGATTAAAAAATGCGTAGAATACGGAGGGGAAGTTTATGAAATATAAAATTATGTCTATTATCTTTATTTTTATTTCAAAATGCAATTTGCAAAATATTTTCCCTATAAAACAATCACTGTTATTATTATAAATATTCTTTGTTCTAAAGTCTATATTTATCTTATTTTGAGAAATACGTCACAATTATGAAAGGCGGAATAAAATCGTCGCTCCTAGGCGAACCTAGAATTGTACAAAAAAACAAACGTCAGGTATTGCGAAATTATTTTTTTCTACTCCCGTCTGTAAAATACCTAATTACACACCGATCTAGTATGCGGGAAGCGTTACTTCACCACGTCAGTTCCGTTTCCCACGAATCCGAGCCACTTCGCACATTTCCGGGATTTTATCGCACGGATTTGGGAGCGATCGGATGTTTTCGGAGATATTTCCGACGCTTTGAATTTTGACGTTTGTCAATTCTGACGGTCATGTCAGTGAAGGTATTGGTGTTGTTTTGCGAGAGTAGAGTAACTACGGTTAAGAAAAGAATCGGGCGAATAACAATTGAAATACACAGATTGCTGTACGCCGCTATCCAAAAAAAGACCATCGATAAAAACTGAAAAATTCAATATAGAATCCCTCAATCACGAAAGCACTAAACAACTTTACTCAAACATGCCAAACATATGTCACTCTTAACCCCATAGTACAGTTTGATACTCCTAACACAGCTTGGAACAAACTGAAAGAAAACATTTGCAAAGGTGCTAAGGAAGCTCTAGGAACACGCACTGTTTCACACAATAGGAGACCGAACATTAAACCCTGGTTTACATTAGAAGTCAAGAACATCACAAGGGAAAAGAAGGAAAAATACTTACAATACAAGAAATGTCCAACACCGGAGAACCGAAACATCTACACCGAAATAAGGAACAAGACTAATAACAGAGTACCAGAAATTAAAGAAGAATATTGGCAGCGATTTAGTAACGAAATGGAGGCGGATATGTACGGAGCACAAAAACGTATTTGGAAGATGTTGAGGGGTCTGAAACGAAAAACAAATGAAACAACACAACTAAGAACAATTGCAGAAGATACGTGGGAAAAATATTTCAGAGACCTATACGCAGAAACAGATGAACCAATGGAAGCAAAAGGGACAAGCCAAAGAGATAATATAGAAGATCACGCGCAAATTACCTACAAGCAAGTAGAAGATACAATAAAGAAACTTAAAAATAGAAAATCTCCTAATCAAGATAAAATACCAAAGAGCTAATAAAAAATGCGGGCACGGCTATCATAGAGGAATATGCAAAATTGTTTAACATTATATTACAATATAAGAAAATACCAGAGGAATGGAAACAAAGTATAACAATACCCATTTTTAAAATGGGAGATAAAACAGACCCAGCAAACTATCGAGGGATAACATTACTGAGCACCTCGCTAAAACTTTTGACTAAGATCATTGCGGATAAAATATCCTCAACAGTGCCAATAAGCAAGGAACAACAAGGATTCCGAAGAAACCGCCCCACTACCGATCCATTATTCATACTCAGGCAACTGGCTGAAAAATCTTTAGAATATAACTCTCCAGCCTATCTATGCTTTATAGATTTAACAAAGGCCTTTGATAGAGTCCAACTAAAAGACATTATCACCATCTTGGAAAGCAATAATGTCTCGAAAGAACTCACAGAACTTATCAAGGACTTAAACACAAACACAACAACCCAAATAAGAACAAACTTTACCTTAACGCAGCATCTCCGAACTACAACTGGGCCAGGGCGACAGTCTCAGCCCTCTGCTATTCAACACAATCATGGACCAATTAATAAAAACCGTTAAGAATACTGGATTAGGATATCGAATGGGAATACATAAAGTAAACATATTATGCTATGCTGATGACGCAGTACTTATTGCAGAGTCAGAGGACGACCTCCAAAGAATGCTACAAGCTTTTAACAGACAGGCAGAAAAACTTAACATGCAAATTTCCACAAATAAGACCAAATGCATGACCATTGCAAAGGAGCCTCTACGGTGCAAATTGGTAATAAAAAACAAAACTATTGATCAGATAATGTCACTCGAATACCTGGGATGCAAAATTACAAGCTCTGGATTCCTGGAAGAAGAAGTAAGGAAACAAGCCAATAAAGCTGCCGCAATATCAGGACATCTTAAATATCCCATATGGAAAAACAAACATTTGAGTGCAGAATGTAAGTCAAGAATATACAAAACCTGTGTACGACCAGTGATGACATATGGTGCGGAAACCAGAGCTGAAACATCAGTAACAAAGAGAATCCTACGAACTACTGAAATGAAGACCTTAAAAATGATAACTGGATACACATTGAGGGACAGACAGAGAAATATAGACATAAGAGAAATGTGCCAAACAAATGACGTTGTCAGATTGATAAGGCAGAGAAGAGAATGGAACCAGCATGTCAGTAGAATGGGCCCCGACAGAATGGCCATAATAATTCGCAACAACGTACCCCATGGCAGAAGACCTACTGGACGACCACCTAAACGTTGGCGAGATAGTTGGCAGTCAACCTCGCAAGAGTTGCTTAGACGAGGAGGAAACCGGAACTAAACAGGCGATACGCCTTCTAAAAGAGGAAGAAGAAGAAGATTACTGTTTTGTAAAATTTATTTCCATTAAGTCAGTGTATCACACCACCTGTATAAAATTAAATTGATTGGTTGAGTTATTCGGATTTACTACTTTCAGTCTGCCGTCCTGAAGTCCTAGAGCAAACGCGCCTTCACATGCGCTTTTGATGGATTTATCGTCATTTATGATAAACCGCTGGTTAGTCCCAAAATTTCGTGAATAAAGAATAAGACTGTTGCCATAGCCGCACCCTCCTTTAATGTCAAACACCTTGCCGACCCTGAAAAACCATAATAGTATATTATGTAAACAGTGTTATAACGAGCTGAGCGCAGCGAAGTGAGTTTTTAATAAACGAGTGCGTTAAAATATTGACTTAAGTCAGAAATTGGCCTAATGAAATTAAAACTTACGTTTTTTTAGCCCTTTCGTACCACCTTGTATGTAATTAATTAATTTCTTTGCCAAATGCACAGAATAAATTCCAATGGTGTAGTCAAAATTGCATCAAAAAATGCTTTATAAACTTTCTAGCCCACAAAAAAATCAGAGCTTATCGAAGATGGAAATTACAATTTCAAAATTTGAGAAAGACATTTTTGACGCGAAATATAGCGAACGAAAGTTATTTCTTAACTTGAACAATTTTAATCTTATAATTAAATTTCATCTAAATCAGCAGATTTTAGCAACTAAAATTTTGTTACTTGGAGCAACTTACTCGGCCAAAGAAGTAAAATAATATTCCCCTGACTTAGTAGCCGATTTTGTTATTTCAAATTTTCCTGCAAATTTTCTACATTTGACGGTTCCGAGATCGGCAGCTATGTATCGTTTGGTCTGAACATGTTGAATGAATATTGGAACATTCACGGGTACGTCCACACCTGAAAACATTTCAAAATGTTCAACTTAATAATTTAACATTGAAGTCATCAAGTGAAAGACCAAATTGCAGAAATTGTTATTCTTCTAATTTCTAATTTCTAATTTAATTTCTAAATTAATTTCTCTTTGGGATATTTTTGTAATTATATATTGCCACACGGAAAACAAACATTAATAATAAGCATTGCTCTAAAAAAACAGTTCACATGGCGTCAACAGAGGATCCGTTTTAGGACCAATGGTATTCTTCTTTACGTAAATAATTTATATTATGTAAGACGTCAGGGACAATCCTTGATTTTGAGGACAACCAAGTTTTCTTATAAAAGATGATTCTTGGGATAGTTTGAAAACCAAAGTTTAGAACGACTTCAGTAATCAGTTGAGCTGACTTAAACAGTCACTTAGGGTGAATGAAGAAAAAACAGTTTCCATGAAATTTTCGTGCAACAAACGAATTTTAGCACCTTCGATATATGAACAATAAGCAATGAACACTATTCAATAAAGTGAACAGATAAAATATAGTTTTTACAAATATCATGATGATCAATTTGCTAACATCAGTAAACAACCTAAGGCCACTGATTTGACAATTTAAATATTTTAGAAACATTTTGAATATACACTTTATTATACAATAGTGCAGACAAGTTTACAATACAGTATTACGGAATACCGGATATACATCCCAAAAAATGGGAAATTATGAAAAAATATTCCCAAAAAATCGATTTTCAAAAACCAAAACTTCTCTGTCCAGCTGTTTGGGGAGTCGAAAATGTTTTACGGTAATGCAATTATTTTTTGAAACAACTGTGGTAAATAGTTTCAAAAACAAAACAGAACTACAAAATGTTAGTCATTCTCACAATACAAGAAATAGAGAACGAATAATATAACAAGATTGCTTTCGAAAAAACGTCGGTGAGAGGGGCAAGTTCGTCGCAAATAGCGCGAATCAGCTTTTTATTTTAATAAGAAGGCGCTTCGCGGATTCTTGTTCTAGAGGGACGCATTGTTTTTCTATCGTGCTCCTGCGGACCACTATGCAACTTTCGCAAAATTGATGTAATTTGATTGTGAATACACCCTGTATATAGTGTCCTTCACATCTCGTCGAACTTCAAATTTACGGCACACTTCGGTAAATATTACAATTTGTACTGGTAATTACAACTTGAAATTATATTATAGTATTATATTATTATAGACGTTCATATCAAATTATCACATCTTTAAAAGTTCACCCACTAAAGCGGAAATTTTTAGGATCCATTAGAATGTTCGGAATAGAGCCCTGGATCTCCTAACTTTCCTGGTATCCGAATTTTTCAAATGGAGTAAATGGTTTTCAAAAATCTACTTGTATTTTGAAACCAAGCAATACGTGGTAATATTAAATGACGTCATCGTGTTTAGATTGAGGGCGAGAAATGGCCATTTTTGATTGGATTTTTTCAAATATCTCGAACAGCGTGTGTGATAGACGAAAACCTTAAATACAAAAATTGTGACCCTTGATACGTCCTATAACACTGTTTAAACGGATTAGCTATTGTTTGTACGAATTTTGGTTTATGGTTAATAATTTACTCTCTAAAAGAACAATTTTCAGGGTCTTTTAAATTTTTGTCCATAACTAAAACACCTTGTATATAAACGAAAAAATGCGTGAAACAAAAGTTATAGCGCCGGGTCTCCCACGTATTACGGATGTAAAATTTTTCTGATCGGATGAATGGCTTTGGAGGAAAAGTCGGTACCTGCAAATTTTGGAGTATTTTCCATAATAGGGGGACCGATTTTTCAGTTTTTTTGAATTTGCGGCGCACCCTGTATATTTTTAAAAAATTATCAAGAATAAAATTTATGGAGTCGTTTCCTCTGCGTCTTCTGATTCAAGAATTTTTTCGGTCTTGTAAACGATTTCTGAAAAATGGTCTTTTTTGTAGACCCTTGCACAAGAGATTTTTATTTTTTTTTAAATATTTCCCGACCCCCCAGCCCCCCCCCCCCCCCCCATTTTCAATAGATTCTGTCACGGGGCAAAGCTGCATATAGGTGCCGGATATGAAGTCGATTGCTTCAAATTTCGGACACTTATCGTGTTTCATAGCTAGGTCCAAAAAATAGTCCAAAATCGGGAAAAAAAGATCAGGGCCATTTCTTATAAGCTTATGTGCCTCGTGGAAGGTTCAAAAGGAGGCAAATGTCAATTTTGTAGCTCCAACCGTTCGAAAGTTATTCAGGAAAAACCAAAAGACGAGAACGGAGAACGGAGAACGGACAGACAAAAAAAATATTTTTTTTTCGACGGTGCTCATTTCTGCGCCAATGGCGATCCCGTAGGACTTACCGTTATCGAAATATAAAATTTTTATACGAGCGCAGATACTTTCGAAAAATTCGATTTCATCGATTTTCGAAAGTAACAAGTGTAAAAAACAAATGGACTTACACGTTTTTCCAGTCAAGTTTTTAAAATTGCCTGAATGAAGATTTAAGGCAGAAATTTATAATGTTAACATCATTAAGTGCTTTTAAAAACCATCTTAACAAATTTATTACATTTTGGAACCACGAAACAATATTATAAGATTAATTCGATATCACACAGGTCGTTTCAAAATAACGGTGAAAGCTGTATTTTTAGAACCTGAAAATTATGGCGCTTTCGGATTTCCCGGTAAAAATCGCTTTAAATATAAGTTGAGAAGTATTGAAGCAAACACGAGGCATCCAGAAATGCTATGAGATACATACATCACTGGAATAAAAAAATAATTTACCAAAGTAACTATATCAAGAACGCGAAAAAGAGAAGTAGTTGTTATTTCGTCAGTTGATTAAAAACATAAATCCGCAATATAGCAAATTACGTAAATCTCACCTTGACTAAGGCCCAAAACTATCGTAATAATGAAAAGGATGAATGTGTTGCATATGGCACCCATCTCGTCTATAAACTAAAAAGACCGCTAAAAAAATGTTTTATCGGAATTTTTAGTTTCTCTTATCGTGTATTAGCAACGGTAACCCTTAATAAACATACTAGAAATAGAAGTTATAATTTGTTGGCGAATGGGTAACTAATTTACTTGAAAATGGAATTGTACCGCTGTAAATGGATATAATTGACGCATCGTTTAAAACAGGTATAGGCCAACGCAACGCAGAGTTGTTATAATTAGGGGAAAATTCCGAAAGTAGACTTAGTATAAACTGGAATCGGTCCTGACTGATAGAAAAGTGAGACAAATTTTAAAATAGAAAACAGGGTTAAGTTTATAAAATCCAACAATCTGTTCCCTCAATATTTGCAAAAAATTAAATTGATAACTTCTTAAAAAAGGAAGAGAAAAAAAGGAGCTTATACAAATTGACATATTAAAAAACTTGAAACATTTAAGTATTTTGCAACGTTTTACAACATATACTAGTCAGCAAGGAACCCTATCTATTTTTTCAGAAGGATTGTTTTATAAAAAATAAATAAAAGCAACCCCCATTTACCTAAACATGTGGATTTAATGAACATCTTGTTCTTTATGTGCCGTCTGCTCTAAGAAGGTTGGCTACCATCATGGTGATTCTCACTTTGAACACAGCTGCTCGAAATAATTCCATTGATATACAGTAGTACCACTCTATTAAGTTTTTCAGCCATGGTGTGCGCCTTCTCCCCAAGCTTCTCTTGCCTTGTACTTTTCCCTGTATTATTAGTTTTAGCACGCGCTAGCTTTTTCAGCGCATAACGTGACCCAGGTAAACAAGTTTCCTTGTTTTTACAGTCTCCACTATCTCTGTTGTTTAATCCATTCGTCTTAATATCTCTGCGTTTGTAACTCTCTCTGTCCAAGAAACTCGAAGCATGCGATATCCGCAGATATATGCAGATACCCACATTTCAATAGTCTGGAGTATTTTTTAGTCGTCTTTGTTCGTTGTCCACGGCTCCATTCCATAAAGAAGGATTGAAAAAATACAACCTCTGGTCAGTCTGATCTTAAGTTTGATGTTTAGATCTCTAGCGCAGAATACTTTTCGCATGTTAGTAAGTGGAGTTTTAGCTTCTCCTATTCTAGATCTTATTTCTAGGGTGTGTCCTCCAGTAGAGTTTAATATGGTACCCACTTACTCTCTCGACTGTCTCATTGCGAACATGCGATCTGTGGCGGACATTTGCTTTGCTGATGAGCATGAATTTTGTCTTATTGGTATTAAGTATAAGACCAGCTTCTTCACTACTATTCACAATTTTGTCCATCATTTTTTGTAGGTCCGCGGCACTCTGGGCTATTACCAAGGTGTCATCGGCAAAACGGATATTGTTTATGACGCTGTTTCTTCAGATATAGAATCTTGTTAAAGTATATATGTTTTTCACTTAAGATTTCCATAAGTCTGTCGTGCCTCACCCGATCAAAAGCTTTGTTTTAATCCACAATAAGAGACGAAAAGCCCCTGGTTTACATCCAAATACCATTGCATTAAAACATTCAGGGTCAATAATGCTTGCCTTCCACGAGGCACAAAAGCCTTTAAGAAATGGCCCTGATCCGACGCCGGTATCCATCATTTTTTCGGGATTTTCGACTATTTTTTGGACCTTGCTACGAAACACGATAAGTATCCGAAATTTGAAGCAATCGATTTCATATTTGGCACGTATATGCAGCTCTGCTCCGTGACGGATTCTTTTGAAAATGGGGGGCTGGGGGGTCGGGAATTATTCTAAAAAAATAAAAAATCGCGTGTGCAAGGGTCTACAAAAAACATCATTTTTCAAAAACATTTCACGAGACCAAAAAAATTCTTGATCTAGAGGAAGCAGAAGATACGGCTCTATAAACTTTTATTTTTGACAAGTTTTCAAAAATATACAGGGTGCTCCGCAAATTAAAAAAAAAAACTGAAAAATGGGTCCTCCTATTCTTGAAAATTGGTTATAACTGAACACCTATGATTCAGATCTCACTTTCTTTATTATTGCGGTATAGCCCGCACAGACAGAAAAAACTTTTTAGTATTTTTTAAAAATGTTTGAAATTATATCTTTCACCCGATCGGTAAAATTCTTTCACCGACAGACGCGGAAGATCCACTACAATAACATCTATTTCAGGAATTTTTTCGATTATACACAGGGTTTTCAAATTATAGGCAAAAATCTAAAAGATCAAGACAATTGTTCTTTCACCGAGTAAATTATTGGCCGCAAATCAAAAATCGTAAAAAGTATGGTTAATTAGTTCAAACAGTGTCATAGGCCGCATTAAGAGCTACAATTTTTGTACTTGCGGTTTTCATCTATCACATAAGCTTCTCGGGATATTTAAAAAATATCCATATTGAAATCGTTAGTTCGGGGGCTGTCAAGACGCGACGACGTCATTGATTATTATGGCGCACTGCATGATTTCAGAAAAAACTTATTTTCTCGAAAATCAGTTACTATTTTCAAAAAATTCTTGAACCAGGAAACGTGGAACATCCAGGGCTATATCTTCTACTTCGAACATTGCTCGAATCTTATACACGGTGTGTCGTTTAGGGGCAAAAAAATCTTAAAGACCCTAAAAATTTCCCTTTTTTGTGGATTCATTATTGGCGATAAATGAAAAACCGTTAAAGATGTGATAATTTTATTTGAACAGTATCGTAAACTGTGTCGAAAAAGAGTTTCAGGTTTCGTCAATTATACAGGGCGCGAGATATTTAAAAAAATATCATTCGACAACGCTATTATTTGTGCAAATTTTAATATTTACCGATGTTTGCTGTAACTTTGAAGTTCGACGAGACGAACAATGCGTCCCTTAACCACACGAAACCGCGAAGCTCTTTTCTTTTATAGTGAAAAGCTGCTTCTTGCTAGGCGCTACGAACTTGCCCCGCCCAGCGACGATTTTTCGAAAGCAATCCTGTTGCCTTTGCATTCCTGAACCCAAACTGGCAGCATCGAAAAAAAACGACGTTTTTATTTTTTGTCTGTCCGTGCTCCGTTCTCCGTTTCGATAACTTCCGAACGGTTTGAGCTACACGCTTCAAATTTTGCTCTTTTTTAACCATCCACGGGGTGCATAAGATATGTAAAAATGGCTGCGTTCAAGCTTCGGCGTTCATCTTCTTTTTTCGATTTTCGACTGCTTTTTGGAAGTTGCTATGAAACAAGATAAGTGTCCGAAATTTGAAGCTATCGACTTCAAGTTTGGTCCCCTAACGGAACCTATTGATATTTCGGGGGTTGGGGGGTCGGGAAATATTTTTTAAAAATTAAAAACTGCGTTTGCAAAGGTCTAAGGAAAAGATCGTTTCTCGAAAACTGTTTATGGAACCGATAGAATTCTTGAACGAGAACACGTAGAGAATTTGGCTGTATAAACTTTTATTCTTGTCAATTTTTCAAAAATGTCTACGGTGCGCCGTAAATTAAAAAAAAAACTGAAAATTGGCAATAACTAAAGTACCCTGTTTCAGATATCAGTTTTATTTACATGGCGATAGAGCTTGTATTCACAGCTAAAATTTTCGTATTTAAGGTTTTCACCTATTGTACAGGGTGTTCGCGATATTGCGTGAAATATTAAAAAACGTAATAGGTGCACTAAATTCGCATCTACCGACTTCGGATTTGGCAGAAAAGTAGAAGTTCAGACCCACATTTAAACTGTTAAAGTCGAACGCAATTAAGTACCTCAAAGTATTTTTTTATATTTTTCAAATTTCTTTTGTGGTAATTTTGGCTTTCAGAAAAACATGTTTTCCTCCAAAACCATTCACCTGATCGGCAAAATTCTGTAGCTGGCACACGCGGAGGATCTGGTGCTATAACATTTATGTCAAGCATTTTTTCGATTTCATACAGGGTTTTTAAATTATAGGCAAAAAATCTAAAAGACTTTGAAAATTGTTCTTTTCCAGAGTAAATTATTAACCGCAAATCAAAACTCGTAAAAAATATGGCTAAAGAGTTCAAATAGTGTCATCAAGGGCTACAATTTTTGTATTTGCGGTTTTCGTCTATCAGACACACTGATCGAGGAATTAGAAAAAATCCATATGAAAATCACTATTCCAGGAAATATCAAGACACACTACGGCGCACTACATGGTTTCAGAAAAATCTTATTTTCTCGAAAACCATTTACTATTTTAAAAAAATTCTTGAACTTTTTTCAAATATGCACAGGGTGTGTCGATTATGGTTAAAAAAATCTAAAAGACCCTGAAAATTGCCATTTTCGTGGAGATATTATTATTATTGAAAAACTATAAAATATAGGATAATTTGGTTTAGTCTGGAATATGGTGTCGAGAGAGACAGAGAGAGAGAGAGAGAGAGAGAGAGAGAGAGAGCGTTTCAAGTTTCGTCTATCATACAGGGTGCGCGAGATACTTGGAATAGTATAATTGGAAATCGTTATTACTTGAACAATTTTTAATATTTATCAAAGTTTGTTGTGAATTTGAACTTCGGCGATAAGTAAAAAACGCTTTATACAAGGTGTATGCACAATAAAATTACATCGATTTTGCGAAAGTTCCATAGTGGTCCGGAGGAGCACGCTATAAAAACGATGCGTCCCTTTACCATAAGAAACCGCGAAGTTTGTCCCTTTTATAATAAAAAGCTGCTTCGCGCTACGCGCTACGAACTTGCCCCGCCCAGTGACGACTTTTCGAAAGCAATCTTGTTGTATACACGGTTGTAGATTATTTTAAAAAATATCTTCAGGATGTGGCACATCAGACCTATGGTTCTGCGATCACTGCATTCTTTGGAATTCGGCTTTTTCGGAATAACTACGAATGGTGATAAAAGCCATTCTTTTGGGATTATGCCCGTTTCGTAAACGGTATTAATGAGGTTCGTTATGGGCCGTATATGTTTTCGATCAATAAGTTTAAAAATCACTGAAGAATACTGAAGAATGTGTATTAATTAACATTAGCGAGAACTTATTTGGTAATAGGTATATCCTACTCTGTAGAAGACAGTCGCCGTCAAAACTATTCAAACTATCACCACAACTTACTTAAAACAA